CGAAAAATTTGTTGTACGTGCCGAAATTATTAAGAATTTATGATTTGTTTGATTCTTTGTTTGGTCGGTTTTTCACATAAATTATTTCCGCGTGCTCCGGACAGCAAATGTTTTTTTGTGTGTAAAAGATGGTTGTATTTGATCTTGGGAAAAAAAAACAGTTGTAGTGGCACACATGTGCGAATCGAACGTGAGCACATTTTTGATGAATAAACATATTAATTGAATAATTGAGTTATATATTTTGTGTGAATATTTGGCAAATGGAGATTGCGTTGAAGCACAACATACGATTAGTACTGAGACATGAACATGACTTTATCGACTGAAAAGATCCCAGAAGAAATTAAACCGCATTTCACAATTGCGCATTTTGTTGATTGATAGTGTGGAAAGGTTCTGAAAGATCATGGGCGGCACATTTTCTCAAATCGAATCGCTAGTTAAACCAAATAATTACATAAATGATATGCTCAAACACATCTCCGATCAACAAATAATTGAAATTAAAACAAAGAATAATGAAGAGGAAGAGCAAGAAAAGAAGTATGTGAAAGGCCGGCGGAAACGTTTTGTAATTTGTGTTACGCTTTTCAATTTGAATAACGATCTCGCAAATGCAATGCAACTTTCTATGGGACGCCTGTGTGTAATAAGTGAATCATAATTTGTGTAGCCGATTAACACGATAATAAAATAATTATATTTTCTTGTTTTTTCTCGTGCTTAAGCCATCTTCGCGTCTCGTTTTTTGACTCACTATTCACTATACGCGTGCTGATGGATGGTGACGTGCCAACCGCTATGTAGGAAAAAAAATAAAGGTTGAATTATATAAACGGCTCTTTAAACGAACAGCACCAAATGGCAAAGCAAACCATTCCGAATCTTTCGCTTGTAAGAAAGACCCGATGCCACTACAACAAACACAGACACACACACACACACATGAACAACGGACTGACACTGGCTGGTTGCCGGCAAGGCGAATATTTGATATGCCTTCCTTTATTCAATGCACTTTTCGTGTTCTTGATTCTTTGCCATATAAATGCATTCTCTCACTGTATTCCACATTTCGATATGTTCGAGTTTGTTGCATTTGTTTGGGTTTATGTTTGTTATAAAATTAATTTACGGTGATGGTGCGTGCATTTAACTATCGTGTCTTTTTTTCTCTCATTTCGGGTAAACCTTATCTAACTAATAAAATCTATATTTCCTTTGCATTCATTCCGGTTTTTATTTCTCATCATCTTAGCCAGCGACAATTTTCAAATTACCAAAAAAAAAAAAATTATTATCGAAAAAAAAATGTTTGATGATTTTTCGTGTTTTGTCCAATTTATTTGCCGCGATCAAACCCAAAAATGCAATGTTCAAATTCCTCATTGAAACTCTTTTATTCTTGCGATCCAATCGCCGACTGATTTGATGAAAATTAAAACGGAGAAACAAAACGCCACAATTTTCCATCACAATCTCTTGCTTTTTGATCGCCTAATTGTTTGTCATTCGGTTCTTTAATTTTTGAGAAGTCGTTTTGTCGTTTCGTATTAAGGAATGCCGAAGTGGCTTGTTTTTTACGACTTTACTACGTTTTAATGGTACATTTAACAGTGCAATAAACGTACGCTTATGTCGCTCTAAATCACATTTGACGAATTTCAACAAATGATTTTCTATTTTTGTGTCCATGTGTGTGTGTGTGTGTGTGTGTGTCTTCTACTGAATGAAACGACAACACATTTTCTTTGACGATTAGTATATGTATCTTCCGCAGCGTTCATTCAGTAAGTGTTTTTAATTTCTTTCGATGGTTTTTAATTGCCACGACTAAATTACTCGATTTTGGTTTTCCTGCTCTCATCATCAAAAATCAAAAAAACTCTAAACTCGATTGCCACTGAATTGAATGAATGAATTTTGTGAAGAAGAGACTGAATTGAAGAAAGTCAAACTCATTTCAGTCAAGTTCTCTGGTTGTTCACACACATATAGTTTGAACGCGATGAAATAATCAAAAACTTCAAAAAGCAGCAGCTATGGATTTGGAAATACTCTTTTTCTAAATAAAAATGATACTCTTGGTTCTTGTTTCCAAATCAAAATCATATCTATCGCGCTCAGTGGCTTCGATGCAACATTGTAGAAAACATATATATATATATTCGTTTTCATATTTCGAAATTTATATAAACAAATTGTAAATCACTTAATGAGATAATTTGGTCAAATTTATCCGACTGTAAATAGAATTAGAAACCCGTGTCGACAGTCACTTCAAAGCCTCAAAGGAAACTAAAATACAGAAGATTTGGCTATAACCAAAATGTGCTATTAAATAACTATTTATTGTTTTTCAATTCAAATCTGGTGAAAATATTGAAATTTCAGTATGAAATCATCCAATATTTTCAATGGATTTTCAAACTGGATCATTTTTTCAAGAGAACAAGAGAGCTACACAGCATGAAAACCTGCAGTTGATATTTCGATTGAAATTCAATTGATTTGTTTATTATTGCTTCACTTCAAAAGATCCACAGTGTTCTGTTTTCATTCGACCATCGATTTATTTAAATAAAGATTGTGTTTTCCCTCGATGACCAACTTCCTAGTCCAAATCGTTGGAATGCATATGTTTCAATATGTTAAATACTCATTTTTTCGATATTAACTTTAACTATGAATTTCAATATGAAACTGGGTGAAATTTGTGATCACAATTGAATTTAAAACCAAAATGTTGACTAACATTTTCGTATTCACTCATCGCTATTCAATGCATTTTGCGTTTTATATATTTCTGTTTTATTAATCATTTCATTTGCCTTTCGATGTTTAGCCGGTTTTTTTCGTGAGTATTTCACATTGTTTTGTCCAAAACATTCAGCTCATGAATAATTTTGTAATAAATGCTCCAATTTATTCAAATATTTCCAACAGTTAAATAATCATACGAACGTAATTTTGGAAATGTACAAATGAAATTTATTTGCTTTGTCTATTCGAAATTATTTAAATTTCTCAAGCACTGGCCGACCACCAGACACAAAGACGAAAAAAAAAACTGTTCGGAGCAAATATTTTTATTACACTGAATTAAAGCGGCAATTTTATCGCAACGCCAAACTGGAAAATTAATTGTGTAAACATGGTGAGGTAAAGGGAGGCAAGTGAAAGACCTATTAATTTCACGGGCTGTCACCTCAAACTCAGTTGAATTGATAAAATGTCGCAGACTATGTTTTCGTCCAAGTCAAATATTCCATAATTCGTCTTGACATAATGAGAAATTATCACCTGATTATTATTATTCAAAAATTAAAATTCCGAAAATAAAGAGAGAAGAATAATCGCCGCCACACAACAGAAAAAAAATGATTATCGCAAGCGGAATTTATTATCCGTGCACAAAATATTGTTGAAGCATTTTGTGAATATTTGTATATGTTGTGAAAAAAGATAAAGTCTTTTTAAATATGTTTTATTTACTCGAACGCATGTCACACTATAAATTCCATTTTTTTAAACATAATTCTTGAAGTGGCTTGAATAAATTACATTAACTTCCAATTTTAACCAAATTCTTGAACTTCGTCAAGAAATGAGTGAAAAGTGTGAAAAGAAACTACATTTTGTAATTGATATGTTAATTTTATAAAGTCCAAGTCAATTTGGTCGCTGCATGTCATCCATCGACTTTGGCCATTCGAACACCTCAAGAAACGAGAGCAGATGTCCCACCATACGATATCGACTTTGCCAATGGGACACAGTGAATGTTAAATAAAGATACAACGTTAAAACTTGCACACTGACTGTAATTGAATGATTCAACATTGTTTTAATCATTTTTCGAGAGCCAATGTATTTAAGAAAAACTTGTATTAATTTGATTTTCGGTGGTAGTCGGTGACAGGACAGTAATGAAATAATCACCTGGAATTTGAGTGTTGCTTTAATTTCCAGAGGCATTCAATTTGACTAGCTATATTTTCGTCCATTGTTTTTTCTTTAAAAAGTCGTTATTTTTTATCCTGAATAGAAATGTTTGCTTGATTTTCGATCGAACAAGTCATTATCAGATATTTTATTGAAAAATTTACAGTCAGCCCATATAATTCATTTGCGGAGTAATTTTGACGGTGGCGGGACTGTGTGGAGTTTGGCGGAGATGACATACAAACTCTGTGTGTACGAGGGTAACAGCACTTCTATGTGTATCATTCTTACGCAGATTATTAGTAACTTAGCTGTGTGTACGGCTACTAAGATGTACGATTGGACAAAATAAATCTATGAACAGCAAAGAACGCTGTTGCACTCGTACACACAGCATTTGCATGCTATCTCCGCTGAACTCCGCACAGTCCCGTCATCGATAAAATTACTCCGCAAATGAGTTATATGGGAGCTGAAACAGCTCAGACAGGCGATGAAATGGAATGAAAATTTCTATTGTTCTCGCTCCGTTTCAGCGCCTGGCGTTATCTGCCTGAGCTTATTCGGCTGGTTGAAAATATCTCAATATAATGTCTAAGTGGGTCGAGTACCCGTGGACAAAGACTGTTCAATTTCGTTACACTTATGTCTTGTGTCTACATACAGATTTACATTTTGCAGTAACACATTACAATTGTAACGAAGCATTACTGTAATACTATTACAATTGTAATGCTAGATTTTAGCATTACCAGTAATAGCTATTGCTATTCTTATAACCTTACTGGCAATGCTTCGTTACAATAATAATGTGTTACTCAACGCTGCCGCTAATGTCAAAAATCTAACATTAATATTGAGACTTTTCAACACAACTTTAAGTTGAAAATATATTTACAATAGATGGCGTCTGTGTCCGCTCTAAGCTCATCATTGAAATTGCTCATCAACCCAATCAATTTCAATGATGAGCTTAGAGCAGACACAAACGCCATCTATTGTAAATATATTTTCAATTTAAAGCTGTGTTGAAAAGTCTCAATGCTATTACAATTGTAATGTCAGATTTGTAGCATTACAGTAATATCTAATACAATTGTAGTAGCTATTACAAACATTACAATTTTAATGCCGGTAAATCTGTATGTCTACATTTGGCGTGTGAAGGTGATAAAGCACATCACATCTGATTTTTATTTCGGTATTTTCAGCGAAGCCAATTTCATAGAAATGTTCATCTCTGCAGTTTCTAATGCATCCATTATTCCTTGTCGACCTTTTCCAAAATCAGGTGCGTCATTCGTGCGCAGATAGAAAACACCTTTCAAACCCCTACAATAAAAATGATAAGATTTAGTCAGAGAAAGAAGTCAATTTAAATGAAAAACTATTTATTTATTAATGTACGAACCTGTGGTTACCTGGATCACCGCCCATTTTCACGACCTTATTTACCGCCGAACAATTTCCATTTCGAAAATTTTCAAATGAGTCACATTGGAATGCAAAAAATTGTGGTGTAACAATGCTTTCAATATAAAACTCATATGATCTAGCATGAGCACATATTCCAAAAAAATCGAATCCACAACCTAATTTAACATTTTAAAAAATGGTAAAGAATCAACTTTGACACTGATGTATTGAAAGAGAAAACCTGGTTGAAATCGGCCTCCGTTTGGATAAAAATTTGCATTTCCGAGTAGCTCAATGTGTCCCAGCTTACCAGCGCATGTATAAATGGCTTCAACGTACGAAGCGTCTATGTCGGCCAATCGATTTTCGACCTCCTCAAATTTAAATGCGGGCGCAGCCGGATCTAATCCCACTATCTTTCCCACTTTTCTGGTTGTCTTCTTTCCAGCTACAAATAAATTCTTATTTTTTCAAGTGAAGTGACAAAAGAATACATTACTCATCACGTATTTTACTCCTAAAACTTACCAATACCAGAAATATGAGCGCCTGTAAATAAAGATTTTCTTAATGGAAAAATATGTAAATGATATTTAATTCGTACATATGAACTTGAATTACCTAAACTATGTCCCACAATAGTTAACGTAGAAACGTTCATCAAAAACTTGTTCCTCATAAAATCGATAAATCGAGCAACATAAGCGCCTACTTCATTGACACGACGGCGAGCACAGAAATAGTTGATATCGTTCGATCCTTTTTGCCAATTCACTGCTATCAAATTAACTTTCTTTTTGCCTCGTACAAAATATGCGTTTGCAAAATCTGATGTTAGCTGACCGTCTGAGAGCCAGCCGTGAATTAATATTCTCGTTGAAATTGTCTTAGCAAAATTTGATTTCTTCACTGTATTGACATCGTCCAATTTTAAAATGTGCGCCTCTGTTGGATTTTTCTGTGTGAATAATTCAAAAATCACATCTCTCTCTGCGATGAAGAATGAACATGTCGTATTTGATGAAGTTTCAGTATTGTCTCTAAAAGATTTAATCAGATCTTTTATTTTTGTAAGACTACTAGTGTCGAGCAATTGGACCGATGGTGGAGGCACAGGTACTTTCAATTCAGCCCAGATTTTCCCATCGATGACTGATGAATTGACTAATTTTGTGAAAAAAAAACGGAAATTGAGTTATATTTATTATAATTTAATTCAGATAAAAACTTACTGATGGCTACTATGCAAAAAATGATTCCAATTGACATTTCAATTGTTCAATAGCACACGAATCAAGAGGTCGTATACGTTACTATCGAATCATCCGAATGACAGGTGTTTTCATAATAAAAGTAAATGTGAATAATCCAGACGTTCAGTATTTTGCAAATAAGAAGAATACATTATAATAATTATAATTTGCTATTGAATTACATTCATCACATACGTCATACATAATGAATTATGTTTTGTCGTCTTAAATAAATTATTTTCAACATCTCAGTGACTACGCTCATTTTTTTAATGATTGAAAATTCGTTTATCTGTGATAAAACCAATCTCTGCAAATTGATCATTCAATGAAAATATGAATAAGAAAAGATCGGAGAATATATCAAATACAATAATCGAATACTTTTGTTAAATAGTCTATTTCGAACCTGTTGCTCGGTTCACCGCCCATTTGCACAAACTTATTTATTACAGAACAATTTCCATTTCGCAAGTTTGCAATTGAGTCGCATTGAACTGCAAAGAATTGTGGAATAACAATACTTTCGATATAGAACGCAGATGAGAGCACATTCCAAACATGTTCCATCCACAGCCTGGTTTATGATGAAAAATAACTTTACTAATTATGGAAATTCAGAAGCTGAATAAAGAATATGGGGAAATCTGGTTGAAATCGGCCGCCGTTGGGATACAAATCGTAATGAGCTGAAACTTTGCACAGGTTATTTTTTTCACACAAAAATAACATTCCAAAAGTTTGAAGAAATTTCAATGCGTATTATATTTCAATGAATAGTACCTTCCGAACAAAATTTTGGATTTTTCGCTCAAAATCGAAAATTTTGTATGGAAGTTACCAATAAATTATATCGAAATATCTTCAAACTTTCAGAATGTTAGGTTTTTTGTGGAAAAAAATACCCTGTGCGAAGTTTCACGTCATACAGACATTGATTCCTCACATAAATTCACATTTTTAGTAATTTTCGTATAAAAAGTGTATCATAAATTATTTGTATCGCAAAACTGATTTCAGATTCAGTTTTCTCGTGAATTCAAATTTACAGTAAAATATATGAAATAAATGCATCACAGAATCACAGTGCGTAAAAGTTTATCTTACGGATCTAAGACATTTTATTGTATTATGGTTGCTATTGAGAGGACACTGATAATTGAAAATACAATGATCGAATAAGTCAACACAAAAAGCTGGACTGATCAGCCAGCTGTCTGATCTGCTAACATTTTAAGAATAATCACTGCATACTTCTGAGTAGCTAGCAATCTAAGATTTAATTGGGTATCTTCCGTAAAGCCGATTGCCACGAAATCTTTGCTTTTACTGTCTCCAATGCCTTATACAATCCTTGGCGACCTTTTGCGAAAAACGATTGATCATTTGTGTCCAAATAAAATATTCCTTTTAAATTCCTGTAAACATTAAAAACATATAAAGAGTTGTGATTGAAAATTTTCTGGACGAAAATATGTTTGTTACACTTTTTGGACGACCTTACCTGTTACCCGGTTCGCCACCCATTTTCACGATCTTATTTACCACTGAACAAGTACCTTTTCGCAAATTTTCAAGTGAATCACATTCAAAGGCATAAAATTCTGGTCTATTAATACTTTCGACATAAAACTCCCATGCCCGAGAATGAGCAAAAATTCCAAGCACGTCCATTATACAACCTGACTTTCAATTAAATATAATGTTAAACATATAACGTTGCAAGTTTCACAAATCAAATGCTGAACCTGGTTGAACAACGCCTCCGTTTGGATAAAAATTTGCATTTGCGAGTGGCTCAATGTGACCCAATTTCCCACTACAGGTATAAATGGCTTCAACATACGATGCGTCTGTGTCGGCAAGTCGATTTTCGGCCTCTTCATACTTGAAAGTTGGTAAAGCTGGGTCCAATCCCACTATTTTACCAACTTTTCGGTTTGCTTTTTTTGCAGCTGCAAAATAGAATATTAGTAACAAAAGTGTTAAACAAATTGTCTTATTTCATTAATTAGGCGCTTACATAGTCCTGAAATGTGAGCACCCAAAGAGTGTCCAATGATGGTTAAAGCACCAACATTTACCCAGAGTTGGTTTGCCAAAAAATCAATAAATCGGGCAACATATGCGCCCACTTCGTTAACACGTTGACGCGAACAGAAGTAATTGAAATCATTCGAACCCTTTCGCCAATTTACCGCTATAAAATTGACTTTATGTGCACCTTTTATGAAATATGCGGCGGTAAATTTTTTTGTCAACTGACCACGACATTGCCAACCGTGGATTAACATTCTTGTTGGAAATTTTCGAATGAAATTTGAAGCTTTTGCGGTACTAACATCGTTTAATTTTAAAATTTGCGGTTCTGTTGGATTTTTAGGTGTAAATAGCTCGAAAATTACATCTCTTTCTGCCAAAAATGATGTACACGTCTTATTTTCCGTACTCTCATCATTTTTTGCTTGAGTCTTGAATACATCTTTTGCATAGGTAAGCATATTGGGGTCAATTAATTGCTTTGATGGCGGTGGAATAGACACGTGCAATTCAGCACAGCTCTCAGCATAGGTGATCGAAAAATTGACTAAATTTTAATATTAATTAAACTTTAATTTTCGTTTCTACTAGCGTTTCTCCTTACCGAAAGTCACCAAACAAAAAATAAGTTCAACTAGCATGTCGACTATTCCCGTAGGTAATTTTCTAGTTTCTATTGAATTGATAGAATGATAGACTGTCTCAAGGTTTTATCTTATATATGATTCGTAATATACAATTGAATTCCATTCTTGCTGAACGTTTCATTATCATATCGCGGAATTTGGGACAACTCATGTATGAACAATTTTCGAATTTCATAAAACAAATTTGGAATACATTTTATTTATTAAAATGCTAAAGTAATTTAACACACATGAGTTGATATTATTTTATTTCAGAAAGTGTCTGTTTTTATTTTGTATATTTTAATGGGTCGGGGAAAAATAGCTAATCAATTATGTGTCCTTGCGGTTTCTAATTCAGAAAATCATTCCTTTGTATCAGATAAATACCAATTTCATTACGTAAAAACATTTCTTCATTAAATAAAAATCAAAAATTATCAATTCATTTTCTTTATTTTTTTTGTTCGCAGTTTTTGTATGCATTTGATGGAAACACACAAAATAATTTCAATTTATTTTCCTCCGACGAGTTTTCAAGTGGGGATAAATGATGAAACCTGTATCGTATCCACTACCCACCTGTGAAAATAGTTGATCTGCATGCAAAAACGCTGTCGAAAGTGCATCACTTGAATGATTTGAGTTTGTTGTATTAACATTGTGAATTACAAATCAGTACTGCGCTTGACTAATCGTTTCGCTGATATTTATAGTGATTTGACGCGTTAAAATTATAAATGATAAGATATATTTTGATTGATTTGATTATTATTTTTGAAGGTTTGTACAATATCTGTGTTATTTTTGATGGCTTTGGACGATTAGCAGGAGTCGCAAATAAGCCTTATCAATTTCAATAATCACTGACTGATTATTAGTCAGTTTGAAAACTCGAATCATTCTTAAACAAAAAGAAACACTCCAATTTATTGCCGTAGTTTTATATTTTTTGATCGCAGATAACTTCCTTTGATGATTTCCTGGTAAACCTGATGGCCAAGAGACATTTGAGTCATTAACACAATGAAAACATTTTTGTGAATTAATAAAACAATTTCAATGATCTTTTTAAAACTTTAGTAATCATTTCAAAATTCATTTGGAAATCTTTAAATCTTTTGCAAAATTTATACTATAAACTGTAGTATATTGACAGTTTTTAAGGTATTTCTGGCGCTTCTTTTATGTCAGAATTGTTATTATTTTACAAAAAATGATCGAAGTGCAAATCTACATTCAAAATTCACTTTAAATATTTTTCTAGCTGAAAAAAAAATTACTTTGATATCTTCAGCGATACCGATTCCATGGAAATATTCAACTTTGCTGTTTTTAATTGTTCAAACATTCCTTCACGGCCTTTTCCAAACAGTGGTTCACCATTGGTTTGCAGATAAAATATTCCATTTACACCGCTGCAAAATGTTTGTACCAAAATAAAAATCCATAAAAATCGGATTATTTGAATATTATTTATCAATTAGTTCTGTAAATACCCAAAGTGTCCTGGTTCACCGCCCATTTGCACAATATTATTTATCACCGAACAATTTCCCTTTCGAAATGTTGCCATTGAATCGCATTCAAATGCAAAAAATTGAGGCGAAACCACACTTTCGAAAAAGAAGTGCCATGATCTAGAATGAGCACAGGTGCCAAGCATATCCCATCCACAACCTGTTTTTTTATTTAAAAGATGTTAAAGATTTAATTTTGTCATTGAAAGTAGATGGGAAAACCTGGTTGAAATCTTCCACCGTTTGGATAAAAATTTGCATGCCCAAGGGGCTCAGTGTGTCCCAGTTTGCCGGAACAAGTATAAATAACCTCAACGTATGACGCATCTGTTTTGGCCAGTCGATTTTCAACGTCTCTAAATTTAAAAGATGGCAATGCAGGGTCCAGCGCGACTATTTTGCCTACCTTATTTCCAGTAACCTTTTTTCCAGCTTCAAAATTGGAATTCAAAGTTTAATATGACCTATGATTCTGAAATTTGGATATTTACCTATACCCGCCACATGAGCACCAAGCGATTGTCCAATAATGGTCAAAGTAGAAACATCCATCGCTAATTGTTTTGACATAAAATCAATAAATCGAGCAACATATTCGCCCACTCCGTTAACACGCCGACGAGCACAAAAATAGTTAATATCGTATGATTCTTTTTGCCACTTTACCACTATTAGATTGACCTTATATTGACCATCCACAAGATAAGAGTCCGTAAATTTTTGAAATATTTTACCATCGGAGAGCCAGCCATTGATCAACATTCTTGTTGGGATTTTCGAATCAAAATTTGAATTTTTTGCCATTATTACATCATCCAATTTTAAAGCTTGAACTACTTTGGGATTTTTCGGTGTGTATAATTCAAAAGTTACGTCTTGTTCCACCGAAAATGGAAATCTATATGGAAAGGTGAATGGGGAATTTTCGTTGTCGACTGTGGCGCTGATTAGGCTATTCACAACCAAAAGAGCTTTTTCGTCGATCAATTGGGAGGATGGAGGTGGTACAGGCACCTTCAGTTCAGCCCAGCTCGAAGCATAGGTGGTGGAAAAACATACTAAAGTCAAAGAAAAGTGAAATTAAATATTATGAAACAAATAAATGTAGACCTAAGAGAATTTGAAAAATTCTCATTTTCAGTTTCACTTACCGATAGTTATTAAACAAAAAACGATTTCGAATGACATTGTGATTGTTTCGTTCTTAGTTTGTTTTTCATAAAAATTTGTTATTTCGCAGTTAAAAAAAAACCTGAGTTAATTGCGATTAAATGTTACAGCTGACAAATACGTTAATATTACCTATCTGAAATTGGGACAATTATTAACTGAAACATTTTTTTCGTCATTAATAATAATAATTTGAAATTTACTAATAAAGTCAAATACATCTGTAGCAATAAGTGTGAGAGATACACGAGACGCGACAATTTGAAAAACATTCATAATAAGCCAATGAATTTGCCTCGAACGTTCCTTCGAGAAAAATTAAATTTTCGGAATGTTCATTCGTTTTATGTTATTCGTACATTTTTTTAAAGATGAGAATAAAATATTATCAATACAATTTCAATTCACTTTATTTATTTATTTTGTTCGCAGTTAGTTTTTACAATACGATTCCCTGGTAAAGATAAAAAAACAAACATCGGCACTTGAATTTGTATCAATTATTCTTCATATATTGATTTCTTGCTTGGGTTGATGACTAACAAATTACCTATATTCAGCTCTAAGTGTCTTGAATCATTTTCACGATTTTTTCATTATAGTTTTTTTTAACAGGCAGTAAAATAAATTAACTAAATAAATAAAAAAAATAATTTATTTATTAATTAAATAAATTAACAAAAATTCAAGATTCATATTAATAGAATTAATAGAATTGATACTAATCTATTGATAGAACAGATGTTTTGCTTTTTAAACTTTAAATTTGATACTGAAAACTAAGAGTTGAATTTAAAACGTTGGTTTCCAAAGTCCGAGACAACGTCGTATTTGCTATGTATGATCAATCAATAGTGATTACAACTTTTTAGAGACACCCTAATGTATACCGAACTTAATTTATACTATATTCCGTTGTTTCAAAGTGCAGTATTAAGGTGCCTTCCTACCGGCAAAAACAACCTGACGGTCGTTGTTGTCTCTTTTATTTACCATGCAGCAAAAAAAGTTCTTAATAAAATATTATCTCCATAACACAAAAATCAAAGCGAATGCATCGAGTAAAAACTAAAATATTCATTGATCCAGTCTTGATTGGGAATGCGAATGTAGTCAACGGGCCATTGCATTCATATATAACAAACGAATGGAAAAGATGTTGAGAATAAAATAAAGACAAAAAGTACGTGCGCGCGCACATACACACTCAACCAGCCCATGAACTAAACGAAACGAAATAAAATTTATAATGACTGCATTAAATTAAGATTCGTTGTTCTTTTATAAATTATTAACTTTTGTGCAAGCGCGTCCACATACTTCATTACATTTGTCTCTTTTGCTCTGCCTGCATTTGGTCACCGGGTTCCAAACTCTCGATGTAAAGTGTTGGTGCTGATGAATGGTGCAATGCTGTTTTGATGGTGTGCTTTTCTCTCATGCCAATGGATTTCCTTTTCATCTTTTGTATGGTGCGATTGTCTCAGTCTGTCTATCAGAATTGAAAACGTAACGTTCATGTTCGTGTTGCGCATGGTAGTGTAAATATTTATAATATTCAAAATGCAAAACGAAAGATAAAGAGCGCAAAATGCAGCGAAAGAACATTTTCATCGTCGTCATCATCATCACTGCAATGAGTGCGCGGAATCGGTTTTGAATAAAGCCGTTTCATATCACACGATACGACTGAAACGAACATATTTACTTGCATCGCATTCATTAAAACGAAACGGAATTGAATGGAATTGGTGGACGCAAAGAGAGTCGAAAATCGTTCACATTCATGTATCGATTCGCCTTTTGTTTGCATGCCTTTTTGCGCCCGATAAAAAGACCAAAGGAATTACGAGACACAAAAGTGGCGAAGGAAAAAAAATACGAAGAAAAATTATGATTATATGAATATATCGTAATTATATTTTTATTTCATTCGCTGGTTTTTTTTTTTAAATCCGTTGGTTTATTGTGATTATTGGATTATTGGAAGTGAATGCGCGTTGCACTATCCACGAGTACATGTATTGATCGGTCGAATTACGTAGATCAAGGGAAAAAACACCGAGAATGCAGATCAAACACGCGAAATCATCGCCACGAAGCGGAATGGAAAATGTGATTCTTCAAGCGCAAAATATTTTATAGTAAATTCATTCCCAGAGATTTATTATTATTATTTCTGGCTGGAGCATGATGGCATTACTTGTTGTTGTCGTCGTCATCATTGACCGTCGTCAACTGCTTATTTGTTCTACCTCAGTCCCATCGGCCAAGCGACATACACTCACTCACTACAAAATGCCAATGAAACCGATTAAGTTTTGCTGTTGTTTATTATTTTATGTTCATTCGACTTTTGTTCGCGTTTTTTTTTTGCTCTTTTTCGATTTTGTGTGTTTTATGTAAAACCGTCAGCAAAAGAATCGCAACCTCAAATGTATATCATTAAATTATTCGCCATTTCCTTTTGATACGCAATGATACCACGCACTTTGCGCAGCCGAATTCAAGTTCCAATCATGTTGCAAGAAAAGGATTTTTCTCTCTCACTCTTTTTTTTAAATTCTCCTTGTCTCATGTTACAATATTTTATTTTACGTTCGTTTTTTTCGCTTTTTCGAACATGGAAACGAGGAACAAAAGCAGAAAAATTTCGAACGACCGAATGGCGATGCAGCACAACATAAAACATGCGTGTCTTTCGTCACACACAGAAAATCGGAAAATATGAAAAAAAATACCAACAATCCCATCGAATTCAATCGATAAATAAATGAGAGTTGTGTTCATCCAATCGCAACCAACCAGATAGTTATGAATATTTTTCTTATTTATTTTCTCTTTTTTCGGTACCAAGCGATTGGTAAATCCATGAGAGAGCATCGCTTGTATTCGATACATTTTCAAATACACTCTGTACATGATCGTTACTAAAAGAAACAAAGACCTGATGCTTAGATGCGCAATGACAACAGTGAGTTTTCGATTAACGGGCATAGTATTTCACATCCATTCACGGTTCGAGGGACGATCGCAATTTTTGGAAATTTCTTTCATAAATGCCGAATTCGGCAATGAGAGAAATCTTACGATGGCAAATATGTTCAATGGATGTTTGTAAATTGGTTGAAATGATTTTTGGTAGCGACAAAACAATGGATGATCTCACCGATGTTCGATTTGTCGCCAATTATTATTTCTTATTGTATGTGCATGTGCACTTATATTGAGTAATTTGCTCCCACGGGAAATTTCGGCCTTGAAAACATTCAGAAATTTCATCCGCATTGTTTTATCTTTTTGTGGATTTGCCAACAATCGATTCGCTTTTAGTTTAAACACTCATAGATTCAAAAATACTTCTGAAAAGGAAAAATAGACAGAACATCATACTTTAAACACACTTTTATTGACTTAAAATGACTTGGCAGACAACAGAACTGTCAACAGCATGTTTCTGGTGAAAGTAAAGGGTTATAATTCATTTTCCGAAGATGACGAAAAGATGTGCACAGATGGGATTTCAAAGCCTTTCCTTATCCTTTCCGATCATGCGTTGCTTACGCTTTCCTTCCATGAAATCATTCATATTTTGAACGCTGTCGATTTCACATTTCTTTCTCACCAAATGGTGGACTAAATACAACGAAATATTATGGTTCTAATATGAATATAGTGGCTGCAGGAAACGAAATTATGACAAACATTTGTGTCGTGTGCATTTTTTTTGACAATAATATAAGTGCTACTACTATCGGTTAATTCTACTTAATGTGCTTGCAAAGGCAATTTAGATCAGAAAAAAAATTATGCATGGAAAGGGTTGGTGCATTGTGCGGGAGCTAATATGCATTTTTGATATTTGTGTTGCTCATAAATTATGATAGTTCAACCGGTTAATGAACTTGAGTGTCACGTAAACAACATTTGGTTCAGTTGTCGAAATGAAATTCTGTTGCACAAGAAAAGGGGGAAATGTGAGTGTTTAAACCAAAAAAAAGGTTAGAAGTTCAATGAAAAAGAGGCGACATGCTAATATGATTACATATTTTTCATAAATATTCAAATGAACCGACTCCGACTGGCATTTGGAATCAATTTCTGGTTAACGTCATTTTTATGACGATCGTCTAATCGAATAGTGTCAATGCATTATAATCTTCTTTTTTTTTCATAATTCGATTCCGTCACTTAAACGCGCTCATTTTCATTACTTCTGTATGTCTCTTCTCTTCTATTTCCACATTGATAAATATTTGGAGCATTAGTGTCTTGTCTGACAGAAACAATGTTATTTGCATGTAAACAATGTTTCAAGCGTTGAAACGAGGAAGAAAAAAAGAGTCAGAGAATAATATGTTTTCAATATTCATATTCCACAGAGAGATGATCACATGATATCTATTTTTACGCCTAAAAAGATTGAAAGGTTTACGGAACTATCATTGAGATAAATTAAGGAGCATTTAAAAGAAGAAAAAACGCGTGAAAAAACGTGTTTCGTTCACTTGTATGTAAGATACCGATATACACTGTAAAACGTTACGAAAACATAAACAAATTATGATTTCCACAAGCCATCAATTATACGCACGATCAACACTATTTAGACACCCGCTCCTTGCCTCGATGAAACTCTTAATAAATTTCGATTTTATAGGAATATCTCATTGACGGCAAAAAAAAAAATCAAGCATTTTTTTCAGCTCATTTTGTATTTAACATATCGGTTCGGGAAAAAAATTCATAGAGAAAATTTCATATGAAAAAAAGTGCTCAAATGTAACAGATATTTCCAACCGGATGCTCGGAAATGTATTTACATTTTTTTCATTACATATGATATGGAATAATATTATGATTCTATTTAAAAAATAATATTTCACACAAAACATACAGCCAAATTTGTTTAGAAATTCCAATTCGGATATTATGTGTTGATGCACAGTCAACGTGCGAAGCTGATGAATGAGTTTTTGCTTAGAAACCCAATTCATTTATTTGTCTTATAACTTACATAAATAATTGTACCGAATTTTTAAAATCCAAAGTACGAATACCAAAAGAATTCATTTTCTTTATATTCTTAGATGTTTCATGGAATTTTGTGAATTATAAACTGAAATGCATTGAAGTTCGTTCGTTACTTAAAGTTCGTTTTTTATTGATTGCATGTGCCATTGACATTGGGAGGAAATAATATTTATTGTTCAAATGATATATTCGAAACTATAT